AGCTGAGCTCTGGCTTCCCAGGCACTGCTGAGCTTGCAGCTTCTAAAACAGGCTAGTGAGAAAAAAAAAGAATTGGCAGGTTTAACTTTTCAAAGCATGTTGTTACATTTTTAAAGTCTATAAAACTATTGATCACAAGCAAAGCAATTACTTTTGCCAATGTTTAAAGCCATGTGGCAGGTGATAAGGAGTCACCACTGAACACACCCAGCCCTGTTGCAGGAGGGGGCAAAAAACTTCATCAGAGGAAAAAAAGTCATGAGTGTGGGCTCCTCGCACGTGAGCCCGCACACACCAATGGGGCTGGAGGCGTCTAAGCCACAATTGGGGTTAAATCATGGAAATTGCCAAGGGGGGAACAATTTTGAACGTTCCACTTAACAAGAACCATAGAATGGTTTGTGTTGGAAGGGACCTTAAAGCTCCTCCAGCTCCAACCCCTGCCACGGGCAGGGACACCTTCCACTAGAGCAGGTTGCTCCAAGCCCCTGTGTCCAACCTGGCCTTGAACACTGCCAGGGATGGGGCAGCCACAGCTTCTCTGGGCACCCTGTGCCAGCGCCTCAGCACCCTCACAGGGAAGAGCTTCTGCCTCAGAGCTCATCTCAATCTCCCCTCTGGCAGGTTAAAGCCATTCCCCTTGGCCTGTCCCTACATCCCTTGTCCAAAGCCCCTCTCCAGATTTCCTGGAGCCCCTTTAGGCACTGGAGCTGCTCTAAGGTCTCCCCTGAAGGAGCCCTCTCTTCTCCAGGTTGAAGCTAAGATATAGGTGACTTGCAGATACACTTCTAGAATACTGACGTATCCTTTATGTCCAAAGGCTTCAAAAACTATCACACATGTAACTACTATTCCATTGAAAACATACAAACTTCTTCAGTTACCTCCCAACCTCCATCATTTTGAGTTGAAATAAGTGTAATAATCCTGAGCCTGAAGCCTAAGGGAGGTTAAAGCATCTTCCCTTGAAGCAAAATAACTCCTGAACCTCCTGGTCAAACCCCTCCAGCCCTTAGGATGGATGATACCAGTGCAAATCCAGAGCCGTGCAGGTGTTACACACAGCACAGCCACTGCAGAGACACCAAACCTGATCGTACATGATATTTGGGTAGCAAGTTTTGTAGAGAATAAATATCACACTTCAATTTCATGGTAACTTAGGAGGGTTTACTAGCAAATACCATGGCTTTTACATGGTTCTACCAATTACTGAGCAATTACATGTAACCTAGATCTGGAGGACATACAGTAGGGCTATAATGTATTCCTCTCTCTGTTGAAAAGAAGGCAGCAGTTAATAGAAAACACTTTTTCATATTATAAACCCCTCCACAATATTCCTGTGTGACATTATTACAACTCCACATCGATATGAAACCCAAAGCAAAGCCTCTCTTCCCATTAACACATCAGTTGTGGGATGATCAATAAAACCAGACTTTAAACCGCACCGTATGTCGCTCCCCACAAAGTTTTATTATTCAGATTCAGCAGTTGGTACCTCAACCCCTGTGCAATTAAATCCCATTTAGCAGCACTGACCTTCTGATTTGCACTTGTCATTCCTACAGCTGGTTTGGACTTTTAAAGAGTGCAACCAAAATGTCTGTGCACTAAGGGTGGGATACGGGGAAGCCTCCGCCGGGAAAGCTGCAACGGAACAGGGGGAGGAGAAAAAAGGAAAGGAAATAATAGTGCCAGCACATTTTAACATGTTGTAGCATATTTGTAAACATCGTTAATCAGGATTAGCAGATGGTGATGTTAATTGCACCTGTGGAAGTAACAAGACCTCAAGGTTGATTACATTTACAAACTGGGAGTAGGGCTGTGGCACGGCGGAGGATTCCTCACCACCGGCAAGGAAGGGGCCCTATGGGCTCCAGCACCACCCCAGGTTGTTCCCTGTTGCCCTTGCAAGTTTTGCAAGGAAAGGTGTTCCCTGTCCCAAATCCAGCCTCAGGAATCCTCATTGCAACCCAGTGATGGATCAGATGGAATGGGATTCTTCCCTGTGTCACTAATCTGTGCGCTAAAGCAAAATCCAGGGCACGAGTTTCTCTTGCAGCCAGTTCTCCCTGGAGGTGATTTTGGGAGATGAAAAGGTTTTTGTTTGCCCCTGTCTGAGCACAAAAAGGCCGAGGCATGGCACGCATCTTCTGAACCAAGGGGGGCAAATACTGGGCCACTGTGCTCAGAGACACTTTGATTGTTGAGAAATCGTTTTGGAAGGGCACTGACTAAATTTTAAACTCAATTTGGTAAATAAGCCTCTGCCAAGCAGCAGGGAGGGAAGAGCTGACTTTCACATTACACACGCACACTTTACTCATATCTAAATATCAAAGAGACTGTATGTACAAACAGAAGTAATCAGGAAGCATGTTTTGATCTTGCTGATGTACACAAAAAATGACAATTAATGTCCTCCTTTTATGATACAACGCTGGGAGTTTTTTACAGTTACATTACAGGGATGATTATAGTGAAGCTTAAGGCTAAAAATAATGAAAGACTATAAAAACTACATTTTAACATTTAAAAATACCCAGGAAATTAACTGGAGAAGTGGGCAATGATCCAATTAATGGCTCGCATTTATTAGATCAGGGGCAAGTCACAGCGCAAAGCTCCATCTCCAAAGGTGTGAGTGTGCAGAGGTCCCTGTGCTCCTCACAGGCTTCAGCCTGGAGCAGCAGGAGAAAGCATCAGCCATGGCAGACACATCCAAAAGCTGGCCAGAGGGGGGATCCCAGTGAGACAAAGTGAGGCCAGAACTTAACCACCAAGGGAAACAGGCTACATGGGAACAGCAGAGCCATCCAGAGTGGGATTTACTGCACTCACAAGAGCCTGTATTGCAGCTCTCAAGCAAAAAAGTCTGAGCTGCAGCTCTAGTTACATGCTTAAATTCCTGTCCCTTAAAATTCAAGCCTCATGCAACTTGCTGTAATCCTTGCCTGATACTCCAGTGCTGAATCAAGGTGCTCCATGGATACAGTGGCTGCACAGGGAAATCCACAGGGGAGTCGCAATGGCTGCTGGACTGATGGACAAGTGGGAACTTCCATCTACCACATCACCCTGTTGGAAGAACTGCTGTGGGCACTGAGGTTTCAAAGCTTTTTGGGAGCCTTTTAGAAGTAAAGTAGCTGCTCCATTGTTACTCACCTGCCTCCTCATTTGGAATGGCTGAGCAGAGTCCTAGATCATCCGGCTTTCCCAAACACACACAAAGCCAGAAGTGCCTCCTCTGTTAAAGTACTGCTCAAATAAGTAAGAAAACAAAAGGAGAAACAGCAGTTCCTATGAAATTGGAAATGTACATACTTACCTATAGGTCAAGAATAAAGAACTGGCTTTATCTTCATCCCTGCTGCTCCAAAGGAAGGATTCAGTCAGCCCCAAGTGCTGATTTCTTCCTCTGAGAATGAGCAAATCTGAGCCACTGGCACCCTCTGCTGGGGTACCCATGGTGAGACGGGTGTTGCAAGGCTGGTCTGCAGCCCCCCAGCCCACAGATGATTTATTTCAGCATTAAAACAGGAAAAAAAGGAAGAAAAGACACAATTCGGCCCACAAGATGCAAGAGGTGTCACCCCAGCAATGCTACTGTTAGTCAGTCACCAGCTTGCCTTCAGATTTGGACAACAAAAAGCCTTGCTTGGCCCAACTACTGTCATTTCAGAGGGATTTGGGGTTGTCCTTGGAAAGGGCAAAGGGGCAGACACAGCTCAGGGTATGTGCCACCACACCAGGCACCCTCTCCACCAGAGATACAGCCACACAAGTGAGGACTCAGCACCTTTTGGGAGCTCCACGTCCTGTCCCCATCCCAGGCACCTGAGGCATTGCAAGCCCCATGGCCAGGCCCTTGGAGGGACACATGTGAAAAGCCTCCACATCCACAGACAGGTTTACAGACTTCATTTAGCTGAAAGGAAAGTCCTAATTAGTCACTGTGAGTGATTTACTTGTTCATTTGGAAGGGGGAAAGGGGGAGACTAAGCTGAATTGTTTGAAATTATCCCTAAAGGGCACTGTAAATTAAGTGTTAATGAGGAATCGTATGCAAAGGGCCACAGCAGCTAAATAAAATAATTAAGGTGCTAAGTGATAACATTCATTTGAGTCTCAGTAATTCAGTCTGGTTTCAATCAGGATATCTGCAAACGAAGCCAGCCTCACCCCACTGCCCATGCCATCAGCAGGATGGTGGTGCTGGGGCAGCCCAGCACCCAGGAGGATCCTCTTCCAACCTGAAGGAAGTGCTCTGTTTCACTAGCCACACTCTGGATTTACGTATGACACAAAAAGGATTGATTCAAGTCTACAACCAATCTTTTTGGAGGCTTTATTGCAATGGACAGTGGGTTTTCCCACTACAGCTGTTTCCTAACAGCTCATGTCCATCCTTTGGCAGGGCTGGAGACCTGTTTACAACCAAATACAACACAGGATGCTTTTAGTCATCCAACCAGCAACAGGTAACAGAGAAACCACCTCATCATGCTACTGAGTAGTCCCAAATCACACCTGGTTCTCACCAGCACCCTCTGGGCTGCTAAGGGGGTGGTGGGCTCAGGGCACTCCCAATGGCAGCACCCACTGAGCAGTTTCTCACCTAGAACCCAAGTTCTCTCCGCAGTGCGAGCAGTGTACAAAGTGCCCCATAAAACAGGCACAAGTCCCACAGCCATCACCAGGAATTTTACTGCAGGAACTGAAGGATATCACTGTCTGCCTTAAAAAACTACCTTTGCTTCCCTTCCTTACAGCCGCTCCTCCGAAGTGTTGGGGGGAGGTGGTACCCAGTACACACGAGTGTCTGAGCTCAGCATTAAGCCAGGGTTCTGGTGTGTCAACCAAGCTGAGCTCAGGTCAGTGTCTCTCCCTGTAAAGTTGCAGTGATGATGAAGACCCTGGAAAGGGCACTTCCATATCCACAGAGCACAGCCACAAAACGCCGAGCAGCTTCCACCACCAAATAAAGCATTTCAGTCACCATGCCTCAGCTTTTGGCTGCAGATGGAGTGCAGGAGAATACCTGTAGGAAAGTAAAAATAAAGAAAGGTATCTTTCAAACCACAAGAGAATCATTCTATAGGCCTGGAGGTTTGGTTTTTAAATACAGAAAATTGGACTGTGATGCTTTTGTGCTCAGAACCGTTCTCACCAGTAGCAACAGAGACGTTCAGTGACTCGATCCCGGGGTGAAGGGCTCTGCCAGGGGGAATGGCCAGCATCCGATGGCACAGGAGCTGTGTCTCCAGGGACAGCCCATCCCCTTCACTACCTGCAGAAGAAAGGCACTCAGGTCAGCTCACTGCTGCTGCTACATCCCTTTTCCCCCCTCCTGAGTAAAGTCCTTACTAATGCTCTATCACAACTACATCCTTACCCCAAAGCTGCCCAGCAACCTCACCACCTCCCATGCAACAACAGCCAAGAACTACCAGAGGTGAGAGTGGCACCTTCCTGGCCCACTCCAGCCTCCCCAGTTTTGTTGTCCAGTATGTGAAGTGGTTTTGAACACCACCAGTGCACTGCACCTGCATGCAGAGCATAAAGCAGAGAGTCTGAATGCAAGCAGCCACCGTGTCCACATACACAAGCTGCTGCCAAAGGGATGAGGCAGCCAAGAGGCCATGGGCCTGATCTGGTCCAGCAAATCCCACATCCCTATTGATAGTGACGGGTTCAGCCTTTTCAGCACACAGTACCACCATCTGGGTACAACTTGTGAATGCAGACAGTTTAACCAGAGGCTTCAATTGATTAGTTGTTAAACCATCCAACAGCCCTGATATGTTTGGGCTGATACACTGGTGAAACAGAGTTGAAATCTATCCCAGGTCATTAATAGTTGTTTGACTCACACTGTCACAAAGGGAAATGGAAAGGGAGAGGCTTTAAACAATCCTGCACACAGACAACTGAGAATGCAGAAGACCACAGACCTCCCAGCCCGCTCGGCTCCCCAGAGAATTCTTCCATTCATTATTTAGAGCTACACAGACAGCTATGTGGCTGCAGGAGCAGCCAGCTCGTTTCAAAAGCTCTGTGCTCACCCTCTGACCAAACAGGCTCAGCAGGTTGGAAGCCAAACGCTGCCCCTTCACAGCCAAGCCCTGGCCCCAGCTGAAGCCGACTCGTGCTGGGACAGCAGTGCCAGGGCACAGACTGCCAATCAGGGGCTTCTGCACCTCTGCCTCTGTGGCCAGTGCTGTCTCACCTAAACTTAGGTACTTACCTGAAGTTTTAGCAGCACATAAAGTGTCTTTAGGCACTTTCTATGCCACTTACTCCTCCATATGGCAAACAAGATCCTTCCTGGGCTGAGGTGCCACAAAACTCTTCCCCTGGTGCGTGCTTCCAGCACTTCCCCAGCACATTCCCATGTACTGATCTGCACAACACCCCTCTGACCACAGAGGGCAGGAAGATGCTGTTATTTCCATTTCACAGACTGGAATCTTAGACTCAGTATCCCATTATGCTGGCCTGATGTAACTGGTAAGATGCACTTTGGGTAAGGGAAAGACATGCTTGGAGTAACGCATCTTGCATCACCTTCCTGCATGAAATAATCCATACAGGCAAAAGCATCCTTTGGCTGGGGTAAAATAAACCTCTAAAAAACCAAAATCCCACCATTTTCCTCCAGCTGCAAGCCAGCAGTGGAGGCAATGCCTGGGTGAGTTACCCAAGGTCACAGGAGAAGCCTGGGTAACCCAGGAATGGAAGCCAGTCCCCCCACAGCCCAGCCTGCCACTTCACTGCTAAGACTGTGGTTCTCCAGGGATGCTTCAAGAAAAGAAAATACATTATCCTACTTTTTCCTGATTCAACACAGGAACGTTTCACAATTTACAGTCATATTTGCCTCCTGAGCCTCTCAAACCACACTCTCGTGGGACTCTCCAACTGGGACAGCAGCTATTGCCAGAGGTGGGATGGCTCCTGCAGCAATCCTCTCCTTGATTAGAGTCTTACAATTCCTAATAAAGGCAGCAATTTTGCTTCCAGCTTTTACAAAGCTTTTTATGGCTCTGGCTACTTAAAATAATGAGGAACCATAAATTCAGGGCAAAAAGACTTGCCCAGTGTGACATGAGGGAGGGAGTATTGACTGAACCAGATTAAACTCTAGTTTACACTGGCGAACAAAACCACTTCCCACTTCAGATCTTTGACTCCCATCTCTTACCTTTATCCTTCACTGACAGCCCTCAAAGAGCAGAGCTAGAGTTTGGCTGAAATGATGAACCAGGTTTCCTGCCCCATTTACAATTAACACCAGTGTGACAACTGCAGTTCCCAGTGCAGGAAGTTCAAATCCAGGCAGAAGACAGAAGATAAACCCACCAATTCCACCAACAGCCTTAAACCCTGAAGGTGTAAGAACAAATTACCCAGAAACTCTTTTTACACAGACATTTAAGTGCTCCCAGTCTGTTCCTGTTCACACACAGCTCCCAGTCTTTCGGGCAGCCAGCCTGCCTGTCACCTTCAGCAATGACTCCAGTGCAGACAGCATTAGGCTGGACTGTCCAAATCACTCTCTGCCAAGCCAGCAAGGTACCAGGAGGGTGAATTCAAGTCTGCAAATGCTTAACTTACAAGACAATCTGTGCAGTGCTCAGGAGCTCACTACCATGCTGAATTATCTCTGCTGCAGGTAAGCTACATATTCAGATCTAGGATGTTTCTTCCAACAACCTCAGCATCAGACAAGTGTAATGTTCAATTTTCTTTTCAGCCAAGAGTTAGTGCTCAGCAGAGAGTTGAAATCATTACTGCTGCAAGGTCCGGGAGCTCTCCTCATGCATCTACCAATCAGGCTCCAATCTCCCCTGACAAAAGGAGAGTTGGACTTTTTCCTGGAGAAAACTCTCATAACTCAAGGTAACGACACCACTGCCGCTCTCACCCCCTTCCTTTCTCCTGGCGTTGTCGTCATTTCTGGGATGCATTTCTTTGTGGTCCATCAGCAGTGCTGCCAGCCTCCCTGCTCCCTTTGTAAAATAGCTCCACACATCTTGCAGAGATGCCAGATTTGCAGCGTTGTCTTGTCAGTATTTCTAGTAGTTCAATAAACATTTTAATTAAAGGAATCTCTTCTGAGCCAAGAAAACCACAGCACGGGGCAGGATTACAGCCCCTCAATGGCTCGTGGCCAGCATGACACTACTTCCAAGTGTAAAAGCTCAAAGCAGCTCTTGTGCCAGGTGACACAAAGCGGGGGGAGCTACAGCACAGCCAGACAATGGTGCCTACAGCAGCACTCGAGGGTGAACTTCTTTCTCTAGCTGCCATGAGGCTGTTACTCCCCTTCTCTGCTGCACAAACCCAAACCCTGCCTACAAAACAGTGCTCAGGTCTGGCAAGGAGGTTACACCACCTCCTCCCGATGGCACCGCAGCATCCAACAGCTCCTGCCTTCTCCTAGGTGTACAAAAGCCACTGCTGACTGGTCTCTGTGGTGGTCTCCATGCCACAAAGCCAACTTTGTGTTCAGACCATTCCCAGCAACAGCTCCTCAGGCTTCTTTCTGGGCAGAGATACACATTCCTGTATTTTTAAAGAGCAAACATGACAGAGTAAAGACATGGCTCAGCTCATCCTTCCAGCCTCAGCACAGCGAGAGCAAACACATACCTCCTGGGTCGCTCACTCAGGTTTGTGGTTTGCCAACACAGAAAATCCAGGTTCAAGACTCTAGGAGAGGACCAAAAGCACCACAGAACACAATGCAAAACAACACCCTGTGGCTACACTGCCCCAGACCTGTCCTGCCACTGGAAATTGCCACCTACAGCAGCTAAACTCCCTGTTCAGCTACACAAACTTGTTTGTTCTTGCAGCTCCTACTGGGAGGATTCTCAGCTTCCCATCTTCTTCTGGCTCCCTATTTCATTTGCAGCCAGATCATTCCATTACTTCTTGCTCAGCTTTTCTTTTTTTTCCAGACCAAAGCGTGATGTAAAGTAACAGACCCACAACTAGCTTTGGAATGAAACATCACCCCTGTTCCTTCCTCACACATACACTTCCATCAAGCCCAAAGCTCAGTCAAATGCAATACCTATTACTATAATGACAGGCTTATTCCAATGAAATTCCGAGCAGCTGATGACAGGGATATTCTCTGCATCCTCAGGCTTGCTGACTGTTCCCAGGACTTCCCAGCCTTCTGCAGCTTTAGCCTAGGAAGGAAAAGAAACCCATGTTAAAAACCTGCCTTCTTTTCAAGCTGAAAAAGAACCTAAGTCATGTATATAAATAGATTTCTTTTTTACAGTAATAAAAAGGCTTTTTCCCCCCCATAAAACAGTTCTAGGAAGGTTTTTGCCTGGAAAGCACCACAAAAAGAGTAGTGTTAAATAAATTAGCATCAGGCTAATACACAGAGCAAGGCAGGCTCAGCCACCAGAAGCCCACAGTAATGTTTTCAAACTCGGATGCCAAAACTCAGCCCATACAAAAGGCAGAGCACTCAGTGTCTCACATACCCAGAGCATCAGCCTTCCCTCCTGCTCCCTAGACAAAAAGAGCTTTTATTCTTTGTCTTGGAAATCCATTTCAACAATGAAGGAGCTGCTGTTTCTTGCCAGCTTCATTTCCTGTGAAGCTGGCACCTTTTACATCACATCACATTTGCACCAGCCAGGCAGTGCCAAGGGTTGGGGGTGTGAATCTGGGTTCAATTAAATGAACTGTTGCAATGGTTCAATATGTTAATAATTAAAGATTTACAGTCACAAAGTAATTCCTCCAGCTGTTTCAATTGAATATCAATGTGTTTGATAGATCTTTAATGCCACAGACCTACTATAGAACTAGACAAGAGTTTTCCAGCACTGAATGGGAAGTGTCCATGCCCACAATATTCAGCTGGTCTCCAGCCCAGACAGGGCATGACGGAGCTCCACAAGGGGCCAGGGTCATCACATGGCGCTACCACAGGGGATGGACTCGCTTTGCCAATTCAAAGCAACATCCCTGGGTTTATTTCAGTTTCAATCATGTTTTCCCATGTGTATTCCCTTCCTTTTGCAGCACGCTCTGCAAAGGGCCCTATCTCACCTCACCACATAGGTACAGGGTAAAAGGATCCCCAGCAGCTCACACCAGCCCTGGTTTCGCCTCTCTCCACTGCTCCAAAGGCTGCCCAATGCTGCCATCGTGTGCCTGGGCCCGGGGACGCAGGCTCCGACACACGCCAGGCAGGACCTGCTGCAGGCAGCAGCGCAAGCTCCGGTCCCCACGGAAAGGAAAGGACACAGACCTCGTCTTACCGAGCTCGCAGCCCCTCAGGAGACAGGTACAGCGTTATCCTGCTCCCCTCCATCTTCCAGTAACAGACCCACAGCTCAGACCTGTTTCCCCACCCTTTGGAATGGGGCTGTTGTGCACACCCGTTAGAGGTGGTCCGACAGCACAGACCGCCGGCAGCAGAGAGGAATGCAGAGCAGGAGCATCTGCAAATAACCGAGCCCTTTCCCTGCGCTGCCTCTCCGTTCATCACATGCAGCATCTGAGGTTTCCTGAAAGGCAAAAAATATGGATCACTCTACCTTCAAAAAGCTCTGGAGATCATCGGTGCTGTAGACATCGAGGACTTCCACAGCTCCAGAGCTAGCTTTGCTCACTGTTGGAGTCAAGGGGCAGCTGCAAGGGAAAAAAGAAAGGAAAAGCATCGTTTAAGAGCAGAAAAAGGAAACCCAGGAGAATTTTTGTTTCCCTATTTCCACCTCTTGCCTCTGCAACCCACTTTCAACTAGTCCACTATGTGGGTGTATTTTCCTATAGAGAACAGAAGGGCTCAGAAACTAACCCAGGAAACAGGGTGCAGTTTTGTGCACCGATGGACAACTGAAACACAAAACGGTTTAAAACAAAAGGTACCCAGAGAAGTTCCTTTCCAGCCTGGAACACCACTTCCCGCAGCCTCCCTGCTCAAGCTCAGCCCTAGAAAGCCCTCTAAAGAAGCTGTAGAGCAATGCAGGCTGGAAACCTCTTTGGGAGGAAACGACAGAGAAGAGCTGAAGGAGCAGACAACCAGCCCCATACCTGTTCCTCTGGCTCGTCACCACTCTGTCCACCCCCAAGAAGTACGCGGAGCGCAGCAGTGCTCCCAGGTTCTGGGACCCTGGATCTGCTCCAACCCCAGCCAAACGAGCTGCCGGTTCGGACTCTCTTCATGCCCCAAATCAGGCTTTTCAGCTTCCTCCAAACTCTTGAAACGCAGAGGAGTGGCCTCCAAACAAACTCCCTGGTGGACCTGACCTCTGCAAAGAGCATCCAGCTCCCTCCTGTTGACGTGGTGCACAGGGA